CCAAACCATTCAGCTCAGAGAACAAAACTCCATCAAAAATGATTACATACAGTATACAATGTCAGTAAACAACAGAAATGGAAATAATTTTTGTATTTTCTAAACTGTTCAAGAAAAAGACGCTAGTATTGATTTTAGTTCTCATTCATAGTTAATGTCATCTTAAGCTATATGTTCTTGTTTTCATTACATTCATAACTTACAAGTTGATATGTAAACATATTTCAATATGATACATATTGAGTCTCATAAAAGGACGAAACGGCCGTCCAGTGTTTCCAGGTTTTCCATGGTGGTCTAGCTTCAATTGACTCATGCTTTCAACTATAATAAATACTAAATCTCCACAAAACCCCTTCTATAATTGATACATATATATTTAATTTGGTTTATTTTTGTTAATATAGAATATCTGTTTGTAACTTTAGTCTTCAAGTTCTGCAGTAATAACTAAGAAATTTCGAAGTGATAACTCGATTTAACTGAGTGAACTGTGTCCTAGACAAATACGGTAAACATTGGACTTCAGCCAATAGCAAGGCATAAACTCAAAATCCTTGAATCCTACATTGGTTGAACAAATAAGTTTAAGTGTCTTAACAGTGTGGAAACGCAATCTCTTGTTGCTAATCTAATAGTTGATAAGTTCAAACTTACTCAAAGTTGATATCTAACAATAAAAACAGATATATGTTTTCTCTCAATTCAGAATGTAATCCAATACAAATAACCTAAATAATAATTGAGATAATTCTTTGAATATGGCGTTCATATAATGCAAAAACTTTCCATCAAATGGTGGTGAATCAAAATGTCAGCTAAACGAGTTATTAGCGACTCTCCATTTACTTAATAACATATCTGCACTTTAAAAAATCCCTTTGTGTTTAGCTAGTGATCGGGCACATTGAAAGTCATTAAAATATTGAAACATTGAAAATCTGGAAGCACTGGACAGCCGTTTCTTCCCAGTATGTGACTCATCAGCAGTTTGCATCTGAGTCCAACCACAGGGTCTAACCAAGGATCACCGGTCTCACACTCAAGTTCCCAAACTCTAGACTACTGGGCTGGCATCCAACGGTTTGGTTGTCCAACCTCAATCAGTCCACAATATTACACGATCATCTTCCACTGTCTTTTGCGGATAACTACTTTATACTCAAGACAGATTTGACATTCAAATGTGATTAAATTTATTCTTTAATTTATCTGTACTTAGTGTGCTTCACTTGATGAGTAAAGCTAGACTGAACCCATATATGGAGGACAATTTACTGCCACACATACCACGGCGAAACAAGAATTCAGATAGACTTCCTGAATGAATCATCAGCTATGCTTACTAACCACATTATAAACAGATCAGTATAACAAGAATCTTTTATCCTAAGAATGTGTTGTTGATAGAGAATACAAAAACATGGCAATCACTTTTGAATATCTCCACCAACTAAATTATTGAAAAGGAATCACCATAGCGAAGCACTGAAGTGCATGAATACAGTATCTAAAAGTATTGGTAAATTTGTGATAAAATTTTATAACACATTGACTAACTATAATAACCTATGATATCAAAAATAACCCAATATCAGATTGAATACTTAATATCATGGCTTTGTATTTAATTTAGACAGTGGTTTGTTTTACATATCATGTGCTTAAGTAACTAGGTTTTCCACTTGAATTAATTCCATCATCGTGAAACTATTCGTTCAAATGTAAACTAAGATTTTCGCATAGTAATAGTGTTAATCACTGTAACCGATGAATTATTTGTCTATGAAACAATGGCATTAGTATGGTTCACAATAAATTAATATTTTTCAAATAAAGCACTGTAAATTAAACTATGAACTATTTGATAGTTGAGTTCATATGTCAAGTGACTCTAGACCACCATGGAAAACCTGAAAGCACTGAACTCATGAACTCAACTAATAAATTACTATAATCTCAGAATAGGTTTGCGTGAAGATTTAGTATTTACATAGATGAACGCATGAGTCAATTGGTGAACGGTTGCTCAACTTCGTCGATTGGTTGAAGTTAGACATATACACCATCGGATGCCAGTTAAGTGCTTTGGCGCGAGACTGATAGGTCCTGGGCTTGAATCTTGCAACATGGTGTCATGGATGCGCACTTCTAACGAGTCCCACAATAGAACGAAACGGTCATCCAGTGCTTCCAAGTTGTCCTTGATGGTCTAGCTTCAATTGGCTCATGCTTTCAACTATACTATAACACCCAAAACAAACCTCTTTTCTAATATGAATTATTAGTTTGTAGACGGAGGTCTATGATGATGAAGTAATTTAGTCGAGAAAAACCTACTCAACAAAATTTACCTCGTATACATATATTTTTTGAAGATACATTAAAATCTAATCAAAACTCTACACTACTATTTAATCTTGCATGCATATAGAATCAAATACTTGATTTCGTTGGAGTGTATATACATATATATATCAATAATACGCTTTACTGAATACATTTGCATGCAAAAGTATTCCATAACAGAAAAAGAAAACTTTTTTTCTTTTAATAAGTTGTTATCGTTTTGTTTTACTAATTTTTTTTATTGTCATTTCTAAAATATGTATATATATATATATATCGAAGGAACCTTAGAGAACTATAAAAAATAAAAAAAAAAGTAAATGGTTAAGAAAAATCTTAAGATTAAGTAAGAGTGGTTACAATTTTATCGTTTCATTTTTTTGATTCAACTTTTGTTTTTTTGTTTCTCCCCACCCCACCCCCCTCACTTAAAAAAAGAAAATAAAAAAAAAGTAATTGGAAGCATATAAATATTTACGAAAAAAAAATTTAAAAAAATCTTGTCATCATGATTTTATTAATCGTAATTAGATTTCTATTATGTTTAAATGAATAAATAAATAAATAAAAGAAAAAAAAAAGTCGGACTAGAATACATAATGGATTGCATAAGTATATAGAGAGGTATATATAATCAATATAATTTATATTTCTATATAGATTAAATTAATGTACTCAATGAATCGTTGAAGCTTTAATAATTGAAGTATATGGAAGTATATTTGCATTTGATAATTATCGTAGAAAAATTAGTTTAGAAACAACAATAAATGAACGTAAAAAAAACTTTTTTTTCTTTATTTTCTTTTTTCTTTTTACTGAAATACGAACAATACAAACTGTGGAAGGAAAATGAAAAACATTTTTTGTAAATTGTTGTCAATGATTGTTTGTTTGTTGATTTTTGTATGTAGGTGTTTTCAAGTATACTTAATAGAAAATTAATAAAATCTATAAAAAAAAGAATTCTGAAACCTTATTTTATTTCCTTTTTTCACTTTTTTTTTGATTAAGGAATCTATCATTCATTCAGTCATAGTCTTGAATAAAATTGTAATTGAAACGGCCGTCCTGTGCTTCCAGGTTTTTGATGGTGTTCTAGCTTCAATTGACTCATGGTTTCAACTGTGAAAATACTAAATTCTCCACAAAACCCCCTCTGATCTATGATCATATGCTCACTAGTGACTGACTTCAAGAGATATTTCCTTGAGTTCTAGTGGGAAGCAGTGACAGTGGAGTTCTACCAGGTCTGTTGTAGAGATATCAGCTCACTGAAGACAATTGGTGAACGGTCGCTCAAAATCGTGGATTGGTTGAAGTTAGATATTAACACCGTTGGATGCCAGCTCAGTGGTCTATCTTTTAAGGGCTTCGGCTCGAGACTGATAGGTCCTGGGTTCGAATCTCGCGAGTGCGAGATCGTGGATGCGCACTGCTGAGGAGTCCCGTAATAGGACGAAATGGCCGTCCAGTGCTTCCAGGTTTTTGATGGTGGTCTAGCTTCAATTAACTTATGATTTCAACTGTGAAAATTGTAATTGACTATGATGTTATATCTATGATGTAATTACTTGTAAATTATGAAAACGTTTTATGCAATGAGTTCCTTTTATTTATTTAAATAAAGCCAGAATAAATATTGATGTAAAATAATATGAATTCATTATATTTTGTGGTTACTCAGCAGCTGGCAAAGTAAAATCGACAAGTCCTCTTTTCTCAGTAGATTCAAATTCATTTACCAATTTACATGTACGTACCAAAGCATATACATTTCTAAGCATGTTTCAAAGAAACTGAGGCTGTGAGGGACCAAGGCTCCCAACAGTGCAATAGCTCAGCATTTACTTGACACCGGCCATAACATTGACATCTCTCATGCTTTCAAAATTATTAGCAGACAAAGAAGTATGGCAGCACTATATTTTGCTGAACCGATCGTGATAAAAATGTAAGACCGGATCTATGTATTCAAAAAGAGACGGTAATTAACCTATTACTACCCTGGCAATCCACTTCTATTTTTGTTTTAGTTTTTGGATTATTAGTTTTATTTTGGTTAATATTTAGTTTTGTTATATTCCTCTTCCATAACCGAATTTTTAAAACACCCTTTCACTCACACATTTTCATTCATTTGATTCTCTTAACTTATGTGAACTTTTCAAATTCTATTCAATTATTACGTAACCCATCTTATCTGTTATGAATTCCATGAATCCTTTGTTACCTCTAAAATTATCACACATTTTATCTTATGTGTCTCTGAACTCCACTCAAATATTGCACCACCCATCCTTTGTATCCCTGATACTAACAACTAATAAACTTTGACATTTTCATGCACATATATATATATATTTCCTGGCTTCAGTCAGACCACTGTTTTAGTAAGATAGATAAATACCTCTCGAAAGATCTCACTACTTTCAGCCCCTATATTCACATACTAAATAGTATAAGTTCTTATGTTCATATATATATATATATATATATATATATATATATCCTCAGTTTAAATTAGATAGATTGTTCACTTATCGAAAGCTAATGATTGTATAGAAAAAGAGAAAAAATTTTCACAGTTGAAATCATTAGTCAATTGAAGCTAGAACACCATCGAAAACCTGGAATCACTGGACGGCCGTTTCGTCCTATTATGGGACTCCTCAATAGTGCGCATAAACGATCCCGCACTCGTGAGATTCGAACCCAAGACCTACCAGTATACAACAGAGGGATTCACTGTATAAATAAAATAAATATTCGATGAAAGGCAGGAACGAACGAAGAATGATTATCATTTGGCTAATACTACTGAACATGTATTGAGCCGGATCAATAGACATAAAACTTAATTGATCCCATAATATTCAACTACATTGACGTTTATCTTCAAACTATTCAGCCACCGAATTAGTACAAGTACTTCCAGATATTAATCTAAGGACAAATAGAGGTGATTGAAAAAAGGCTAGGTATAGTAGCAAGATGATATGAGAATTCGTGGTTGAAATCTTTATAGTGGAAAAGAGTTTCACTTCAGGCTAACTTGATCCGACGATGATTCTTGGCCGAATAATATCAGTTCGTAGATATGTATACATCAAATCAATGAATACGGTGAGTAACACCTGATTTCTAATATTTATTATTTATCTATTCTTTGTAAACCTCTCATTTATTATTTATTTAAAAAGGAGCTTTAACAGAATAACTTACTGTTTTCTACAAATTGAATTGTATTCTTTTTGGATACCATATAAATTTCCGTTCATGATATTCACTGAACGTCGGCGTCATGGGACTTCGTTTTTTTTTGAAACATTTCACCTAAATATTCATCTAGATATTTATTGGTCATTATTTTAGTTTAGACCTTCTTCAAGTTCCGCCTGATATGTCAGATAAAATCTCAACCACACCAAATAACTAAAAAAAGTAAGATGTTGTATACCAAGTAAAATCACTTAAAAATGTCAATTTAGATTGTATTGTATAAATAAGAATTTACTTCCTTCTCTACTACTTAGACAACAGAATTCTGAAAGAAAAAAACTGAAATGAGAACTTCTATGACGTATTTCTATCTAACAGACAGAATTGGTATTCATCATATGCTCTTTATAAATGAAATTATACAAGAATAATGGAAAGGGAATCTACAATTATTTTCATGAATAAAACTTACACTATTTCCACTCAAACATGAAGGTTAAGATGGAAGCTCCCTTTTACTTAATAGTTTTTTCAAAGCTTTTCCAAATGGAACACTCAGTGGAGTTCATAGAATATTCACTGAAATTGATAGATTTTAGTACTTTACTTACTTACGTTCTCCCAATGGAGTATTGGCCGCCGAATACCACTCTCCAACCCACTCTGTCCTAGGCCTTCCTTTCTAATTCTATCCAGTTTTTGTTCATTGTTCTCATTTCTGTCTCCATTTCTCAGCGTAATATGTTCTTTGGTCTTGCTCTTCTCCTTTGGCATTCAGGATTTCATGTGAGGGCTTGACTTGTGACGCAATTGGGTGATTTCTCCAATGTGTATTCTATCCACTTCTAGCGCTTCTCCACTGAAAACGACTTTTAATGAACACTTGTCTGACACAAAAGTCAGATAAGCTGATAAAAAGCCCAGTTTGGTCTTTAGAAAATATAATCATTGATAAACCAGATGATGATTTATTTAGACAAACTTAAACGTGAAATACTTTTCCATATCTTCACTTCAAAATTTGTTGTACTAGAAAACGGTAGAGAACAAGTGTAGATCAACAAACTTACTCAACCAAAGAAATACTGAATCGATACTTTTAAAGTTCATACATAAAATAGCCTAATGATTTTGATACATTTTTGAACTTAACAACTTCAGTATTAGAAAAGAAAGAAATATTAAGAATTCACTTGCAACTGAAATGGTTTGAATCATACCATTGTTGATATTTTTGACTGGAATTTGACCATTCTTGATTGGAATGAGTGCATTCTATGTGGATTGCCTGTATATAGTCGTAATGAAACAGGCTGATATAGACTAAACAAGGATGTTATTTTGATACACATTTGACTTTAAAAAATATAAACACCATGTTCATAATTTGTAAAAATTAACTTAGATGTGTAAAGCTTGAGAAAGTAACCAATTAAAGATAGCAAATAATTGAATTATGACACGAAGTTTATCGATAAAGACCTCTTTCCAATGAACTTCCTATAAAGCTGCATATATATACATTAGTGGCTACCGTTTTTTAATTCAACATTTAAGGTATTTAGTAGTATACACTGATAGAAAACTGGGATTTTAATAAAAATGAAATCAAATGATAATCGACAACATCATTGAGATTTCTCATGTTATGTGATTGGATAATATATGAGAATCTGTTCGTAACGGAATGTCACACATATAAATTTTGTAGTGAGTTGCTATGAGAATATCTATGCCTAGATTATGAGCTCTTCACAATTTACAGAATGAAATTATGATTGCCGATGAATCTGTTAAAACAAATATACCACTTATCATATTTGAAGATCATATTAACAATCAATTACTATATTAGAATACAAGTTAATTGATGAATTGCACTAATGATATAGTGTTCATTTTAGCAAACAATTTTATGTCTTTAATATAATTTATTGATAAAGCAATAATCTTTAAGAAGTTTTTTTCTAGAAAATGAATAGAATTAGTGGCATTCTGTGAAAACAATTCAGAATTTAAATTCACTTGGTATTGTTTGGTTGAATCTTCCCATTGATGTTTAGGACTGCAACTGGTCAGTCTCTTATTGGCATATGTGCATAGTGTGCATATTGCCCCGATATAGCCTTTAATTCACAAGCATTATAAGCAGAGATGCATAATGGCTAGCAGTCGAATCAGGGACGCGCGTTTTGTCCTATTTGAGAACAGTCAGCTGTATGTACCTGCATGTCAGAGTTGATATTCCCTCTGTGACTCTAACCCAGTACCTTTAGCTTCAAACGCCATCAGGTTATCCACTTAGCTACTGAGTCATAATAGCCACTTGCTTGCGAAATGCGGTAAAGTTTAAATACACTTAGTATTGTTTGATTGAATGTTGTCATTGATGTTCGAGTCCCAGAGTGAACATCAACTCTGAGATGCAGGTACATCCAGCTGACGAGTCTCAAATAGGACGAAACACGCGTCCTGGATTCCACTGTTATCCACTATCCATCTTTGCTTATAATTCAGAATTTAGTTATTTCTTCATCAAAACATTGACTTAATATTGTTTTAGAAGTTCATATATAATTCAGTACACTTATAAGCTGGTTTATTGAATATACATAAATATGATGGATAGAGGTTACTGTCATTACATCAACTCTTAGTTATAATGAATTTAATTGATACTTTTAAAATTGGAATATGATATAAATAATATAAAAGAAATCGTATTAAAGAGAATAAATGAAATTTTTGGCTAGCAACTTATTTTAAGAGTCACTATTTTACGACTGGTCAGTTGGATGCAACTATATCTAAGTTTTGATATTTATACTTAAAACTTGATCCTTCAAACTTTCAACTCCTTATCCAAGAAGATAATCTTTATAGAATTCTTAAATATCAACAAAGTATAACTTAAATACAGCTAAGATTATCAACAGCAAGATAATTCAAATTCTTTTCAATAATAAAGTAATATTCAATATATAGAATTATTATTATATATTTATTAGGATCGTGGATGCACATTGCTAAGGAGTCCCACAATAGGACTAAATAGTCATCCAGTGCTTCCAGATTTTCCATGTTAATCTAGCTTCAATTGACTCATAATCTCAACTATTAAAATTACCATAATATTCCCTAAAACCATTTCTTATATATTACACTTGTTAATCATATAAACTAATTTATAGTTTATTATCTTTATAGACAATAAATTAGGTGTTACTTTTCATTTCCCATGATTTGAAAAACAATACAAACTTTTTTTTGATAATCAGTTAATAGACGTAAATAAAATCAAATGACTACAATCTTTTGTTTTGATTCTAATTAATCAACTCTATTGGAAATGAAACGGGCAAACAAACAAAAATTTACATTGAGTTACACTATCTTCTTTTTTTCTGGTTAGCGTTTTAGAAGAATGAACAAAAATTGGAAAGAACTAGAAAGGAAGGATCAGGACAGAGTGGGTTGGAGAATGCTGGTCGGCGGCCAATGCTCCATTGGGAGTAACAGGCGTAAGTAATAAAGTAAGTAAGTACTTTATCTTAACTAATTAACTACATTTTCTTTGTGATTGTATTATTTTGAAATATATATATGTATATATTCATTACATAGGAATAATATATATATTTCCTTGAAAAAGCTTGGACCATATCGCTAGGCGAAACCTTAGATTTGTAGTATCGGTTGATGTATTAAGCTCATATACCATATAGCTTCAGAACAAGACAATTTACCTATCCATAATGAGTTCCATTTTGACGTTGTTATTTATTTACTTATTAACCCCGACTACTTTTTATATGAGCGTATGTTTGTGTACACTATTTATCTTAATCATCACATGTCTGTCATTTATTTTTATCTGACTATAAATATTGATTAACGCTTGCTTAAAATGAGTTGGCTTATCTGCCATCTTCAATGCGTGTCATTTTTGTTTCGCTCGCTGATATTTACTTATGTGCTTATAACTTACTGACCTGCGTCATTTGTCAATAAAACTGTAGCTGCCGCTTCTCCTCGCCTTCTAATTTTATGCACCGTTAAGATTTGTATTAAAACGGTTAATCGAGGTTAACGATTAACGAAGCACGTCACTACAGATTTACTTCAAATTCATTCGCTGAGATTTTACATATATATATATATATTCTTCCTATTTAATGTCTTACATCATCTCGGCGCCCAAATACTGTGAAACTATTAGCTCTAATTTAGACGAAAGTTCTTTTTAATTGACTTAATGGTATATTTCTGAAATAGTTCTAATTTTCCGCTTTCAGTATATTTTCATTTTAGATAATTAGTTTTAATGGAAAAATTAAAAAAAAAACAAAAACAACAGAGCTATGATGAGCGTATTAGTTCAAGTAGAAAATAATTGGTGCCTATCAAAAATGATCATTATCAATAGTATGATAATCAATAGTAAAAAGAGGGGAAAAATATCAATAATATTCTAAACAATTAATTGGGTTTTTCAAATGGAAACAATATTGTTTAACAAAAGTCCAGAAATTAAACACTACTGTAAATTTTAATAACATAATATGTAGTACAAAATAAGGTGTACTAATGTATATTCATTCACTAACAACAATTGATTTAGTTAATAACCAATATTGATATTTATTAATTTGTTGCATACACATAAAACATTAACTCCGTCTGTAGATCTACCAGAGTCACTTCCTATCTCAAGTTCAGGTAAAGGAGAAGGGTTGGGCATGGGTTCAGCAACCTAATCCCGTTAAGAAAACTCTAACTAGAGTAAACAATTTTACACATCTGAACTCTGCCCTTCGAGCTTAAGTAAAAATTATGATGCCTCAGGATGAAAACCAAGATTACTCGAAAGTCACATAGCCGACATCCATTCTAACAACTAGAGCAAAACGTTTTATAGGTACATGGAACTTCTGCAAAATACGGGAGACGGGAGGACTAGTCAAATAGCAACGGAAATGAGGAGATACAAATTGACAGTACTCGGAATCAGTGAAATTCATTGGAAACAAGCTGTATAGAAAAGGCTAGACACGGGAGAGACGCTACTGTACTCCGGTGACGATGAGGAAAATGCTCCACACCCTCAAGCAGTTGCTCTAATGCTGTCCATAGAAGCACGAAATGCACTTGTAGGATGGAAATCTCATGAATCCAGGATAATCAAAGCATCATTCAAGATAAAGAAGGAGGGGATCACATTGAATGTTATCCATTGTTATGCACCCACCAATGATAACAACGACGACGATAAAGATCATGAGAGGCTGCAATCGATCATAGCGAAGCGCTCGGGAAAGGATCAGAACATCATGTTGAGAGATCTGAACGCGAAAGTTGGAATGGACAATAACAGTTAGGACGTAATCATGGGACGATATGGACCGATTGGGATAAAAGAACTAAAATGTAGAGAGATTTGCAAATATATGTGCATTCAGCAAATCGGTTATAGGTGTCACAAAATTCCCACACAAACGTATACACAAAGCTACCAAACCACAGATAACAAAAGAGTTCATACTTGCATCACATATCACCGCCTGGTTGTTGCCAAGATGAAACTGAAGCTAAAGAAACAAAAGATAACTCTCAACAACAGGTTCAAAGATTTATAGGATCTACTGAAAGAAGAAGAAAATACGATGGAAGGCAACTGGTAAGGGATCAAAGAACATTAACTTCAATGTGTCAGGAGGTTCTGGTTTCTAAGAAGCATCATCATAAGAAATGGATCTCAATGGGAACCCTCGACAAGATTGGAAAAAGGAAAAAACAATGAAATAAGAATTAGCAACAGTCGAACACGAGCAGAGAAATTCAAGGCGAAAGCAAAGTACGCAGAAGCTAACAAGGAAGTGAAGAAGAGAATTAAAGCCGGCAAGCAGAAATACATGGAAGAACTAGCACTGACGGCGGAAAAAGCTGAGAGAAAAGGGAATATGAGACAACTATATGACACGACAAAGAAACTGACAGTGTAATATAGTAAATCAGAAAAACCAGTCAAT